GGACGCCAGCCGACGTCTTCAGGGTGCGGGGGACGGAGCGATCAGCACCGACTCGACTTTTGGAGTCGAGTCGGGACCGGACCGAACTTTTCACATCCCTACGCTAGGATTAAAACGTGGGTACACGGTTTTAGCCATCCCCTAATTTGGTATGTCCCCTGACTGAAAATTCCGTGTAACATTGATTTTCAATATAAATAATAAATTTCTAAAATCGTTATCGTAATACTTCTTTATCGTCAAACACTCTGCATTTAACAATGGAACCAATCGTCTTTGCTGAAGTATTGCCTAATGTTCGGTCCATGACCATGAACGTTGGATTACCTACGGAAAAAAAAAGTTCGTCTCTCAAGCTCGGAATATATCCCTTAAGAATTAGTATAGAGCATAAAAATAAATCAACTGCACAAAGTCTGCAGACAATATTAAACCTTTCACAAACTATTGAAACTGATGATAAACCAGTTATTATTACTTCACAGGATAGCTTAGATATCAGATTAAAATTGAGAAGTTATGTTCGTAAGAAACCAGCAAACCAGCTGAGTGTCAAGGATATACTTCCGCCCTTTTCAGCAAGTGAATTAACAAAGCTTAAAAACATCCAATGTGTTTATTGTAAGATAACATTACTTAAGACGAACACGCTTTCTAAAATAATGAATATGCCTTCAGAACATTGGCTGGAATTAGTAGATTGTTGGATGTGTCATCAAGAAGATTATCAACAAGCACGAATGAGTGACATAATTGTTAGAGAAAATATTGGGTTGGTTGGCAATACATATTTCTTGATTCATCCTAAAGATGTTAAAAGTGATGCTGTTGAAATCGAAGAACGATTGGCCCAAGTGGATGTATGAAAATTTATTATATAATATTTATATATATTTGATTTTATTATATAATAATTGGACTTAAAGAAGGCTAAGATCTAAAGAAATTGATAATTAGTCGATACTAAAGTCCTATAATAAGTGAAAAAATTATATAATTTTCGCACCTTCGAGAATTCGATATGCGTGTACTAGTATTGTGACGCGTATTATTACGTTGGAGCACATATCACATTTATTAGCTCACGAATAATTTATTTCTTATTTTTATCTTTTCTATTAGTGGTCCAAAGGTCTTTCAAAAAAATGGAGGCCACTAAATTGTACTAGATGTTTGTGTCCTATCGGAGAAGGATTATATCAAATGACCAAAAAGATGGAGGAAGAGAACGACGCGTCAGGTACGCGTTATCCGTTTATTTCAGACCATTATTAGACTTAAAAAAAAAAAAAGAAGCTAACATAATAAAATGATGCATTTCCAAGAATTATCTTTACTAGCAATTAAGTTTAGTAAGCAGGCAGTTTTTGTTGAGTTAGAAAGTGATACTAATGAGTAAGCTACTTGCAATTGTGAGGTACAAATTGTACAGATGATAATAAATTAGTAAATTGCTATTTATCCATATAGATCAATTACACAGAGATATCCTTTTAGCGCATTTATAGCTGCCGACCTTTTTGAGGCGGCAAAAGCGCATGCTACTTATCGTTTTATCATTGAAGGACAAAATTCGAATCAAACTTACGCTTTAGTAAGAATTTCATGTTAACTTTTATGATAAGTACATTACATATGGCAAATGATGATGAAATATTATATTGTAGATTTGGTTATTCGGTTGGGATACAAAGGTTATAACAAATGCTTTGCAAGACGAAATACAATGTTGTAAATTCTCTCCAAGTGTAGCGCAATTTTGTATCGCTATTAAAAGCGATTTAAAACCTTGTAATGGTAAGTGTTTTTTATGAGGATGCGAATTTGCTAAATTCTTAAATTTTAAATTGTTTTTCATTGTTTTTTTTTCCTTCTTGAAGTTATTAAATTATTATACATAGATTGCACATCCCAAAGTAATGACAAATCTTCCAGGTTAGTTTTCAAAATTTTCTTTTTGGTTGAAATACCAAAAAATTGACAATATTATCCTTTTTTTTTTAATTGCCTTGAAGCCTTACTGAGCAATGGCAAAAAGATAAAACCGTTGAACACCTTGTGTACCATAATGATATTTGCTTACAAATATTACTAATGTTGAAAATAAGCACTAGTTGTTTACCATTTAGTAAAAGAATTATGAATGGTTTTTCCGTTGGATTTATTGATATACATGGCCCTCAGGAATGTTATAAAAATATTTAATTGCTTTGTGTCGATATGTAAACATACATGGTTATGTTAAATAAAGTATATATAATATACATATAAAAGTAATAATAAAAAGAAGAAGCGAAAACCCATATTTTATAATTTTGGTTTAAGGGTTGCCAGATTACCTATATAAAAATCTTTTAACATCTCTCTAGCCTTTGTGGAATGAATTTCATTAAATTCAATTGTGGCATCTTTCCCAGCATTGATAAGTATAGCAGCAGTACCACCAGGGTGTTTTTTCAAGAATTCTGTACAATTATAAACTTTTTTATTTATTACAATCCAGCAATCTTTTTCATTATTATGTTTAGCAACCTCATTAATAGTAAAGGTAGGAATTTTACTATCGATAGTAGAAACACCTGGAGGTTTCGCGGTTATTAATTTTGGAGGAGATTTAATCATCCAGCCACCAGCTTGATTTCCAGGTTGTGTTGGATGTTCAAATACTAAACGGAATTCATTTCCTTGAGCAATTGTATTAACCTTTACACGAAAATGACAGTTATTCATCATTCCCATTACATTCCAAGTTGGATTTCTAGGTTGAGTATTTTGAGTAGAATCCCAAGCTCTAACAGAAATTTCTTCACATCGAATGAAAGAATGAAATGGTATAATTAAAGACCAAAAACTCCAACACCAATATCTAGGAATTGGATTTACTCCTCTCTTAAGAACAACGGGATGATCAAGTTCAGGTTGATCTAATTTAGAAAGAAGCCAAGTTTTACCATTATCTAAAGAGATTTCAACACGTGTAATCTTATGACCACCTCCAGTATAAGCATAACCTTTGAGAGTATACGTTTGATTATTCAAAAAGCTTGACAATGGAATACATTCATTATGTGCCGGAGAAGTTATGACTGAATTAATATTGAGATAGTTGATAATATAATTCGGATTATACCATACTTTTTCTTTAGTAGCACGTTCAGCATCGAATTCAGGAGGAAGAACACGATTATCATGATAATGATAATAACTATCAGATTCTTTATTGCTTATAGTTATCTTTGAAAGCCATTTAACCATTCTACCACCAATACATCCAGGAATTATTACACGTAGTGGATAACCATGGTCAGGAGTTAATCTTTCACCATTCATTTCATAAGCCAAGATAACATCATTAACATCATTAAGAGACCATTCTAAAGGAATGCTTGTACCATAATAACCATTAGGTAATGTATCAACGCCAGAAAAGCAAACATAAAGAGGACCATTGACACAATCTTTAAGACTAACACCAGCTAATTTTAAAATATAGTTTAACGGGACGCCTTTCCAAATTGCACAACTTGCAGCTGCAGAGCCCCAATTAAAACCTATAGATTGCTTGATCATGTTTTGTTCCTTTCTACGATTTCCGGCACAAACAAGGGTTACCGGAAATTCTTTATAAGGAAGATTTTCAATATCATGCATGGATAAGTTCAAAGGTTTTGATACTAATCTATAAAAAAATTATATTAATTAATTAATTAATATATTCTAGCAATAATGATAAAAATTTTCAAGAAAACTGTAATACAAGATAGTGATTTGACCCGTCTAAAAATCACCACCCGGGTCACCCGACGAGTGGGCCATATGTCACCGTGTAAATTAGATAGGTTACAGCTATTATCATAATTCCTGGGACACCCGATAATATTTGCCGAATAATTTTTCGGCCGATTCGGTTAAGTTATTGATTTCGGCATGATCGGTATACAAAAAATATATAACTTTCTTATGTGTATATCTAAGTCGAATGTATAACTTTTTAAATTGTTATATGACTAAATTTATATCCCAAATAAAGTTCCATTCCGGATTGCAATTCATACAAATAACAGTCAAGTTTTTCTTTCATTAAAGTTTTAAGATATTTTTTATCATTCGTGTTTAATAAATGTGATTTTCTTGAAAGTGATGGAAGTTTTTCAATATCTTTGAAAGTGCTTGAGAACCCGACTTGTAAAAGACTTACTAACACCTAAGTGTTTGGCAATTTTACTGATAAGTCTTCTAAATTTTTTTTTTTAACTATTTGCCAGCGAAGGTGATTTGAAAATATCATAATTCTGTATTCAACCAGAAATATGCATATCGATATCTAGTCTTCTGATATATCAATTTATCTGTTACTGAATCTATTATTCACGAAATCACAAACTTAACCGAATCGGCCGAAAAATCATTCGGCAAATTTTCACAGGTGTCCCAGGAATTATGATAATAGCTGTAATAAGAACTGGAGAATAATTAACCGGATCGGCCGAAAATCATTCGGCTAATTTGTTACAGATGTCCCAGGAATTATGAAAACAGCTGTAAAATTTTTAGTCAACCCAAAATCACGAAACAGCTATAGCATGATCTCCTATCAGTAATTTCGGTAATTTTTCGGTAATTTTACTCAACAAATTGCCATACCTTCAAAAATTCCCAACAACCATGTTCGTGTTTTATGTTGATTGTAGAGGTGAAGGTGAATCGTCCCAACGATGCCGTAACTTTGCCGTAACATGCCGTAATTATATTAATAATTATAAAAAGTTACGGCAAATGTGCCGTAACTTTTTATAATTATTTAATATAGTTACGGCATGTTACGGCAAAGTTACGGCATCGTTGGGACATCTCTAGTTGGTTGACAGTCTACCTTTCCGAAAATTTCCACATTACACTATCTTTTGTTTGACTCTGACTTAATGCTGGTCGAATCTATGATTAATTCCAATCTAATTCGATAACTTACCCAAAAGTTCTGGCAACTTACATCAATTATCTCAGTAACTTACTATTTAAACCCTAACTTATCTTAGTCGTCCCACCCGGCCCGTGTGGGTCGACCCTCGGCCCGCCCGCTCGTCCGGCCGATGGGCAGGGGTCAGCCCGTATCACTAGCCTAGAGAATTGTTGACTGATTTTGCAAAACCTAAATCACCAATATAAATAAGCATTATATAAATAATTTTGTAATGTATTACCGCTATGTAAATCACAATGAATAATACCATGCGAATGGATTAATCGAAGATTAAACGCAATATCATATAGTAGCTCCTTTTTTCCCATTTCATTCGCTACAGAGTGAAATATAATCACTAGTAGCTTCATCTTTTGACACACCATAACATTGTAAAAAATTAGACATTTACTTCCAATATTCAAATATACATTTAGCTTTAAAATCTACATGTATTAATAATGTGAAAAAAATTTTTTAATAGTTAATTTTATATTGTTAAACATTTACCTCTTCATAAGTTCCTTAAAGTTATTTTTTGATCCGAGAGCAGCAATTTCAATACTAAAGTTGCCGCTTATTAATAAATGTGTCCATGTGGCAGAATATATGGTAAAATCCACCTTGTCCTATTCTTGTTTCTAATTTTTAATTCACTAGGTGGAATCCAAAAAAAAAAAAAATAGTAAAGTCAGTAAACAAGAAGCAAGACAATCAACAAAAGAAACTAAAAAAAAGTTTAAAAAACATCTTACCAATGCCATTTGGTAATTTCATATTCATCCAAGATAATAATAAATTATTTTCATTTAAAAATTCTTTAAAAATCACAAATATCATCGTCATTATAATCAATTACATTTTAACAGTAATTAATTTTTGCTTTCTTCAACCATATTAGCCTTTTCCTGATTAGGTAACGTTCCATTTCGATAACATAATCCAAGCCATCAGGACTACACCATCGGCCGATTTTAAATACCATTTGAATGTTTTTTTTTTTTTTTTTTTTTAGCAATGTTTACACCATCCAAGATTATATTACTCGCTAGAATCATCACTTTCAGCAGATTCTGAATACCATTCGAATGGCCTTTCTTTCATCCTTAGTAGTACCTTTTCCATGCTTGTAGCAGAATCCAAGATTACATTGCCCACGGGAATAATCAGTTTCAGCATTTTAAATACCATTCCAAATGCCTTCTTTTCATCTTTGGTAGTGCCTTTACTAGATTGATAATGAATACCAAAGTTATTGTTTACCGGAATCATCACCTTTGGCAGATTCTAAAAGTTTTTTAAATTCACTCATATTTAATATATTTTTCGAATCATGATTGATTCTATTTTTACAATAAACAAGAGTCAACGAATCATGTAAAAAGGATAATACTTTAAAAAAAAATTGTAATAGCTTAACTGGCACATGAAAATATCAACACATATCTGTTAATCATCACCTACATCTGAACCACACGATTTTATAATAAGCGAAAATAATTTCAGATTTAACACTTTCACGGAGTATAATTCCAGGTTTTCGCTTTGTGGTTCGTAATTCAAAACTAGTTTCTTGTGATTAATTCAAACAATTAAATTATTTAATCTTGGAGTTATTGTTATATTCGGAGTAGTTACTTATCGAAAGTAACCAATTTAGGTATTTAAATTAGCACCTTGATGGAATTAACGCACGAAAATCTAATTTTAATTTCATTTAAGTGTTATTTCAGATAAGTAACTGCACTAGAAGTAATAGAATTCTAGAAAAAATAAAATTCATTTACTGTATTTCAGTATTTGACACAAATTACAGTGCACACTTTAATTTTTTTAGGTGCTAGTTAAAATTTAACTTTATGTTTTCTGAAAACGTGGTTCAATTCTATCTACTTTCTTTTTATACCAATTATGAATTTAAATTTAAATTTTAATAGATTGCTAAACAAAAAATCATTTTTTTCCTATTATCGGTTTATTCGAATGACTCTTAATTCGTAATTCGGGAGTGATCGACAGATCATTATTAAGGATCATCGGGGATAAGTAATATAGTAAATTTATTAG